AAAAAAATGATAATTCGATTTTACCCTATTTTCAAAAAAAAATGATAATTCTTTCCATATATAACTTATACAAGTGCTTTAAATATAATATATAATCTTTTTTATATAAATGTATCAAAAATATGCATGCATCTCCTTCATAAAGTCGACCGTAACATCCAAAGACGAAATTTGTAACTATTTTTTGGAAAAAATAAGGAAACTATATCGTGTCAAGTAGTTTTTTTGTTTTTGCTGTTACCAACACGCTCATGCTGCAGCTTGAAAAAACTCTAAAAACGCTATATCAACACGTAATCGTTGAATTAATTTAGTAGGAAAGGAAATCCAAACTTATGAATATGTAGTTAGACAGTTTAAGGGTCGATGAAAGACTTACATTGCAGTAGATTTGCAATCTGTCTCCAGATTGGTTTCCAATGACGAAGTTGTTTGATTCAGATTTTTTAGAAACATAGATTTAAAAAAAGATGGGCATGGAAAAACGCATATTTTGATATTTCCTAAGGACATATGCAAGATTCAATATTTTCGAATTTGAAAGAGAAATTGGTAGTCAGATCAATTCTGATCGCTTCAGAATCCCGTGATATATTTTTGAGATTTTAAATAGAATGTGAAAATCACCATATTACGACACGATACCACACACTTTACGTTAATCTAAATATTAAAACCGCACTTGCACTTTAGATGAGTACAAATAGTCATTTTTGTGCATTCGCGGGCAGCTCTTTTAAATCACCTGATTAACCGATAAACTAGTTATCGCCGCCCAAATAAGTTTAATCACATTTTTTATTGAATTTGAAAAACGCATTACTACGTATATTGATGTATTGTTAAAAAACTAATCCATTCTTTTGAACAAAGCAAGGAAAAAAAAAGAATGTGAATTTGAAAGAAATGGGAGATATAGTAAATGTAAGAGCAAATTTTGAATTTTTTCTTTGGATGTTGAGTAATCTTGTATTAATATGACTTTAAATACGCTGTTGATTAATTTTAGAACATAGAAATTTTTAAGAGACTTAATTTTGATACTTCAAATCAATGGATATTTTATGACGAGCGTTTTCACAAATTTTTTGATTTCTTCGCAAACAACATCACGGATTCCAACATATTGACTGAAACCGAGGTTCTTGAACAAGAAGAACTCTTAAGAAAGAATCAATACGTTGAAACCAATGAAAAATGTGCTGAATGTTTGCAGAAATTCGTATCAAAATATCCTGGTCTACTAATCGATACAGAGGATGACATTATCAGTCTGCGAAAATCTATAGACACCATGGAGAAGTTCCTTCACGGTTACGATGAATTAATTAACGACATGAGGTTTGTATTATTGTTTCATTTCTCAAAATTATAGTTGATGGATGATCTGTTAGAGATACAAAGCAGAGCTTAAACGCGGACTACAGCAAATTGGAGGAGCAATTTAATCTTTTAGTAAATAAAGAAAGGAACATTTTATCCATTTGCCAGAGCAAAGTGAAGAGATTGGAAGAATTGCATAGCGAAAATTTCAAAAAAAATGCGGAGGTTGCAAAGATGTTCGCAACAGTAGTGAGTATTTAGGCAATATGAATATCTGTGCAGTTGTTCCAGCAAAGTTATTTACATTTTCAGCAATCACCTCCATTATTTATGCATCAATTGTCTTTGGATCAATACTTTTCAAAAAGTGATTCTTTCATGCGGCATTTTTCCTTATATTTGAAACAAAATTTCAAGTTTCAAGAGAGTGAATTTGATAATAGTCTTACAGATCTTCAGGAAGACGCAGAGAAGTTGAACAGTCTTAAGAAGTTGTACGTGTCAGCTTATAATCATTTTTTGCGTTCATTCATAAATCCGTGGCAAAATTCGAAGAAATTATAAATCTACATTGCGTTAAGATCGGTTTCAACACAACTTCCATAGAGTATTTATTATTAAAAAACCTAATATAGTACAAGTTTAATGCTTACATAGGGCAGGATGCAAAAAGAGGCCGAGATTGTCAAATTTGATGTGGTTTTATGTTAAATTACTATTACGATATAATTTTCTTCAAGAAGCGTTGAAAAGTGTACCATTTTGTCGTGTGAACTTCACTGTTCTTTATATATGGGGTTCAAAAATGGCCCCAGCTAGTCTAACGTTGCCATATCAAGTCAGAATGCCAAAATACTACTAATTACCCATTTTTGCTGAGAAATTTGGAAAATTGCCAATTTTTTCCATATAACAGCTTTCCACAATAGGGGTCGAAAAAGTCGACTGATCCGAACCATTTTCAACAGGGATCGTCCTTGGGTCAAAACGTGTCACTGTGTCAAATTTCATTGTTGCGTATAAATCGAGAATAATTTGTCTTGTGACTATATTGTTGCGTATAAATAGAAAATAATATAGTGCACATCTTTACAATAAAAATAATTAAGATCTGCTTTCATGAATTTTTGTATCCAATTAATCTATCTTCTAATCTAATCCGCTATAATGCTTCTCACATCCCAAATAACCAATACCATCATTTTTTGTTTGATTTTTCCTGTCAACCGCTCTTCTTAAAGCTATGCAAAAACGATATTCTAATTAGCAACAAGATGACCTTCCGAAAATATTTTATTCTCTGAAAAGGAGAGAGAGAAGCGAAGACAATTTCGCTTACAAAATACAACAACCATTTTCTCAAGTCCAACAAAGCGTTATTTCAACATGGGATCGTCCACAAGAATGGGAAGATTCTGCATTTCAAAAACTTCATAATGAAACGTAGCAAGCCACTTGTAACAATTTGGGCTTACGTAAACAATATTTTGAACGTTGTTGGAATTTTGCTACGGATTATTTAAAGACATGCAACGTAGGGACCCTAATTGAATACTATCTTAATACGTTTAGAATTGAGCAATACGAAATGGATTATTTCATTGAGAAGGCTAGAGGACGGGGCACTCAAGGTGTTGTTGATGGTTTAGATTTGACTAAAATACACGTTGTTAGCCTTTCGGATATGGAGCGGGAAACTAATGAGTTGGCTATTGTAAATGCCCATCAGGAAATTGTTCAAAAAGCTCTAATGGTTGACTTAGAAAATCTTGTCCGCCAACAAGCACAACACATAATCGAAATGAATTTATATGAGAATACCAAGGAAAAATTAGGGAGGGCACAAAAGCGGCACCAAAATAATAGCATACTTTCGCAAGTAATATCTAATGTGTTATCAAATGCCGAATTAATTTGGATAGGCATACAGCTCGATTTGGAGAAAAAGCATAGCCGTTTTGATAACTCTGAAGGATTAAAGTCCGAATCACAGCTCTGTCTGCAACGAATTCATCATATGCGCAACGCGGCATCAAACACAAGCGATATTTTGAGCGTCGAATTTATTACCAAAATGATACAACATCTTAGTTTACATTTGCAACATCGGCCGCGCGACGAAGTAAAAGCTTGCCTGCACGAATATGAAAAATTTATGCGCTTATTCAATTATGCTTTGAGCGGTTTGCTTAGTCGCAAGCACTATGCTACAATTTTAGAAAAATTAGAAGAAATGTAAGTTTTTGTTGGGATTGCAATCATGTTAATAAGTAAATAAGTTTGTGAATTTTTTTTACTCCACTTTAGCAATCATGTAGAAACAGTATTACGTTCATTCGTGTATGATGGTCCAGTGGATACACCAATGTTTGAAAACGTTAGCTATTTAAAACCAATTTTTAATGCTAACATGAAAAAGGAGTTAATCGATAAACAGCTAAGACAAATGCGTACACAATTTCATGAAAATGTTATAGAACGCATGGTATGTATACTAATTTTGTAGTGAGTGGTAGGGGAACCCATGTTATCATGTTGCAGGAGAAGGATAAACTATGGCGTTATCGGCAATTGCTTTGGATGTGGTTTCTAAGAGATTCGTCACGTGTACTGCGTGCAATTGAAGAAATTAAAAAGATGGCTGCTAAGGCTCCACAAATTTTAAAGACTTTGGGCGGCATTAAAAGAAAGTAAAAGCTGAACTATTATAAAGGATTTGATGGTTCAGTATTTAGTTAAGCTCGTTTTGTTGCATTTTTCTCATTAAATAGTGGAGTGCGCGAATCCTGTTTTTTTCTTTTTTTTAATAAGTCGAAGAAAAGATTCGAGTAGAAGATATAAACCGGATATTTATCTCATCAACGTTATCTTAATATCTTGCAGACTTTGCATGAATGGGACATAAAATCTTAGTACCATGATGATTACTTTAGCGGCTAAGAATGGAAGAATGGAATACTTTTTCTTCACCGATTATTAGTTTTAGGCGGTAATTTAAAGACACTCGACTGCAGTTGGGTTTAATTTTACAGTTGTTGACACCAACACCATCTTTTGTAACAAGCGTAGCAAGGCTTGTGGGCGCAACTCTCTACCGAATACTGGGGGAATTCCGATAGTCGATTTGCAAAAGGCTGTACCATATTAGATTGAAAACCTAAAAGATCGACAAGTTTGCTATTGATGTTGTTTTTCTTTTTCCACGAATATGCAACTGTTACTGCCCGATTTGTCTAATTACTAAAATGTCTAGATCTTGATTCTAAGGCTTTATAAGGATTCCTTACATTTTCAATTTTTATACGAATGTTTTTACTACAATAATGGATCTTAGTTTCAAATAAAAGTAACAATAGCTTTCTCACTTTTTCTTTTCTATCGCTCTTCGATTACGTCGTCTACGTCTAGATTTCTTATTGTTGTTCCGATTGTTGCAAGACAAAGAATTATTATATTGTTCAATTTGAAAAGAAATTTCTTTAAAACTTACCGTTCGTTTGTAACGTTTTTATTTGAAATTAACTTTCAACTTTGCTTTGCTGGCTCTGAGTGGAATAACTAGACTAAAGCCGAATTTCAAGAAAAAAGCAACGAAAACCTTAAGAAAGAAAAGTGAAATATAAACAGTAAAAGAGAATGATTAAAAGAAATTTGGAAACTCTAATTAATTCAAGTCAAATTTTGTTTAATTGTTTCATTTATTCGTCCTTTTGTTAAATTTACTATTAAAAATTCAATATTTGATATTTATGATATATTAATTTTTTTTTAAAGCCGATAGCTTTAGATGCTAGTACTGTAAGTCTTGTCTTTGAATTTATTTTTCGACTGAGTTAATAATAGTTTGGAAAAAATTGGAAAATGTCCAAGTAAAATAAATAAACAAATTGATATTTGTTAAATTTTCAAATTTTCGTTTTATTTGGTTTACACCATTTTTATACAATAAAGAAATTTTATTTAATTAGAGAATTATGCTACAGGTGTCTTTAGTAAAAACAAAATAAAAATGGTTTGTTATCAGAAAATGTAAATACACCCACGCATTCAAGCATGCACGCATACATACATTAAGTGCTATTTTAATTAATTTTGAATAACTAATTTTTTTAATATGGTTTATTCAACATGTTTTATTTATTTTCGTTTATCACATTTAATGTACTTTTTGTCTCAATATTAGAGAGTAAATGAAAAATTTAAATTATTATTATTTTCACTTATGTATTACTTTTATTCACATAATTGTTCACTAACGTTTACATACAGCAGGTACGATTTTTTAAAATAGAAAATAAAGCCGTACACGACGTAAGAAAAAAATTACAAAATATGTTTTTAATTTGTTTACAATTTTCAAAATATATTTAGGACGATTTATCAATATTTCCTTGCTGTTGTTGTTTTTTTTTTTTTTGTATAATTTTCGGCGCCAGTCACAGTTCATGGTTTATTTACATTAAAATGCTAACCATTTTTATACACCTGATTTCTCAGCTTGTTAAAAAAGAAGGCAGCTAACTATCTACACATATATTGAACTACGTACGTACACACCCACATGCACGCTAACACACGCACACAAAAGCGAGCAAGTGAAATGTTACTCGCAATTCAATTGCCTTTTTTTTCCTTTCACTAAGATTTGCCTTTTGATTTACTTATGGGCCTAATAGGACCTGGTTGGCATTTTTATACATGCGACAGCTGTTCATAAACAAAATATGAATTGGAATTTCTATACAAATTATTGAGAACATATATGCTTATTCTAATTTAAATTGTATTAACTGCATAATTGCTCCTAGCATATGGCGGCAGATTCTAAGGATGTCTGTTAATGCAACTTTTTTTTTTTTTAATTCACGATTTTACTGTTGTCTCTGTATGTATGTTTTTTTGAACACATTGTTTTAAAGTCGTTTCATGAGGTGTGAGAGTTGGTTTACCTATCAGGGAATAGAGATTCACAACTGCGAGGCAAATATTTTGGCGTTATTTGCTGCTCTTGCTACGATTGAGGATAATTATTTGAATTGTTATTAGCGGGCAGATTCAAATCCTTAAGCATTAAGCAATATTTGATATGTTTTATAAGAAAATTTGCAAATTTATTTATTTTTTTCTAAATTTCATTAATAAAATAAATAAATAAATGTGCATCCATTCACATATGTGAGTTTTTAGTAAAAAATTGCATACAGCAGAATGAAACACGTGTCGTAGAAACATAAACAAAATAAAAATATTGCAAGGAGAATTTTTCTGTGGTTTATTTTCATCAAAATTTTTGCAGCTTTTTTCATTTTCATCGAAATTCCTCCAGCTTTTGTTTAGATTCATAGAACAAGTTGCAGTTTTTATTTGTTTTCATCGAAACACTTGTAGCTTTTGTTTTCGCGTCGTTTCTTGCACATGCAAATGGATGAAAAGATGTTGAATGATTTTATTGAAGCTTTTTTTTAAGAAATAACTTTCTGTCTAAAAGCTTGCTCACCGATGGAAGATTTCGAATCTCACTGTCCTGCGGCACCTCGTCGACTTGATTGCCTTACGGTAGCATCGCAATGTACTCTTGGACCCTTGTGAGGTATGTTTCTTTCTGGCGGGCCTTTTCAGTAGCTTCCAGCGATCTCGAAGGGAATAGAGGTGTTAAAGCTTTGTTCAAAAAGCGTGTGGCGACGCCTGTTAATTCGACCTCTTTCTTTGCTAGCAGAGCTTCCTCTTCCTCTTCCTCTTTCTCGCTCCATCTTTGCTTGACATCAGTCCGAGCTTTGTGCTGGTCGTGTTCATCGGGATGAGCACGCCTCATATGAACCCCCACGCCTGTCTTCGTGGTAAAGGTTCTTCCGCATATTCGACAAGGAATAGCAGAGTGAATCAGAGAGGGACTCTGATTTGGATTATTGCAATTGAGGGATTTTGAGTTTTGGTTCGTTATGCACGAGAGGTTTATCGGACGGATTTGACTAGTTTCATGTGAGGCCATTCACCATCTGCTGTTGTGTTTTGGCTATTTTGTAGCCTATTTTGTGATCGAGAGTTATCAGAACCCCTCGAAGTAGGGTTAGATAGAGGGCTAGAAATAGAAATTGAAGAGAAAAGTTTATTATTTTTTTTTTTTTACTTTTATGAGCCAACTTGTTGAAGTTCAAGGGGGGAGCCAACCCGCAAGAACTTTTAAGCCTATCTCGTTAGACGGAAAGTCTCCTCGCCAATTGGGTTGACGAAGAAGAACTTCCTTTCGTGTCATCCGCATGGCGGGAACAACGAGGAGGCGAGAAATAGGCAAATCTATGATCTTCTTATTACCATTATTGCTTGGGCGTATACACTAATGAGATCCGCATTTTGGAAGAGAGTCATAGTTACTCCCGCAGCAGCGCATAACTCATAATAATGAGTGTTCTTTAATAAACAAATTTTTTCCTTGCATTTGAATTTATATTCGAAAAATATTTTTTTTATTTTACATATATAAACTTATATATAGACCGGGTATTCGCTATTATGGGTTATGGGATTTATAGCTTTTGTTCATTTTCATAGAAAGCTATGCGTTTGTTGTGTACTTTAATATAAAGAAGTGTACCTTTTTTTTATTTTCATTGATTTCACAATAACATCATAAATTCATCATATTCTGATCAACTGTTATTTCAAAGTAAATCGCCGACATTTGCAATGCACTACAAATTTTTATAAAGACTCGCATAAGTTGTGCATTACCTTCGTAAGAGCCAATAATTAATTGATTATTGACTGATACGTATTTTTAAGACCGATTATATTTCTTTATTTGTACATTGGCTTATCAGCGCGGGAGAGGTAAACTATAAGAGTCAATAAGCGGGAGGTTGGAAGATTTTTATTATTCCAATATGAAAATTTTAATTCATTGTAAACTATTGTCACCGGTCTCCGTGACCGTAGTTGCTCGCTATAACTAAAAAATGGTAGGCTTCGGTGAATGAAAATATTGAAAGCTCTGTGCTGCAAATGACGGCTAATTTTGAATCAATTAAGTCATTTCTGTCCGTCTGCGAAGTGTCTGTTGATACTCCACTGGTCGCAAGAACGAAGATGTCGACAATAGACATAAGCAGGGGACGCCGAAGATTCTGGAAAGTTTGCTTTGCAAGTACAATTGCTTTGTCCTAACGCTAAAAAAACAGTTTCTGTATTATTTTGTGAACAATTCTAAAACGTCAATTTGAAGCGCCCTGGAACACGAACTCCTTGAGGGCGCAAAAAAGCCTAAAAGTAAACGGTCAGTGCGCCATCATATAAAAATTACTAAATAGTCTCACATGTTAGCCATTGGCGATTGATCTCTATCGCGTGGTATTTCTCAAACAAGCTCTCCCCAACGATAATTGCCACAAATGCTAGCTAGAGCAAACTGTGGCGGAACTAGACAATGAACACAAAATTTGTCAGCTGTACTTCGACGAGCGGTTCAAACCATTACACTTCAAATGAGAAGAAATAAATTTTGTATTATAAATGTAAACATTTATGGATATTCTTACTATTATTTTAATTAAGTTTAATTATAGGAAAATGACGATGTTTACTAAAATCAAAATCGGGTTAACGTTTTAAATCCTTTTGAGACGCTTTAGGTAAAACATTCAAAACGACATAATTAATGTTAGTCACTTGTAATATAGCGTAGCAAGACTGCGTCTCACTCGATTTTCGTATTGCTTCTGGCGCACACATGAAGACCATCTTGAAAACTAGTGCTTCTAGCTTGTTTAATCCAATCCGATCCTTTGATTCCTTTGTTGCACCGACCATTTTACATAAGCCCTTTATGTATAAACGGGACATTAAGGCTTCTGAAGCGGCAAAATACAAATCCTGGACGTCAACATAAAGGGTTTCTTCTTTTTGTTCTGTCTGTTCTTTACTTTTGAATAAGAAACGATCACCTCCTCGAACTACCAAATGCCCTAAACTTCCACATATTAAGACCTCTTGAGAGAATGTTTTAGGCGACACCGTGTGGTCCCACAGAGCCCTCAGATATCTTCAACTAGATTCTTCATCGCTTTTTATGTGACTCCCGAAAACTTATTATTCTATCTAAAGTTCTTTGCCATAAAAACGGCATGTTCTTAGAAAAAAAAAATCATCGAAATATGTTCTGTAGTGTCATCCTTCAGAATATGTTCGACCATATTAAAATCTTGTTTACTTCGATTCTCTTCAACAAACTGCAGATTTTGTTGAACTCTCTAAGATTATTATTGCGAAGAAAATTCCAAAGTCACCATCT